AACCAGATTGCATGGGCTTGAGGAGGGAGAGGGTGGTGGGAAAGCCAGACAGGGAGATTGTACTCCCCCCAAACCATGAAAGGAGGGATTTAGAAGGGGGAAGTCATCAAGTGAAGCGAGGTCTTCTTGCCAAGATGTAGCGATTAGGGCCTGCTAAAAGGCAAGAGGAACAGATCTTTGGAGAGCGAGGAGTCAGACTGGCCTGCACCAAACAAAGCACGTGCTGTATGGTGGGGACCAAGCCAGGGCCAGCTTGTTGGCATATAAACCTGGGGCTGTCTGCTAACATTCGTGTGAAGGGAACAAAGGCCAGGGGAATAGTACTTGGTAGCAATTCCTTCCTAAGAGATATCTGGGAACCCCAGACATGAGGCAGAAAGGTCTGGAATGGGGGAGTATGGAGAGGTATTAAAGTGAATTGATTTAGTGGCAACTAGTGAAAGAAAAGCGGATGAAGAGCACAGAAAAGGAAAGAGGAAACTTTTCAAGAGCTCACGGGTTCAAAAAACATGAGAAAACTTCAAAGAAGACAAGATGGTTAGTGCAGGTCATAGAGCTGCAATGAAAAAACAAATTTTTCCACTAACTGTCCAGAGGCCTGGTAGTGAAAAAGGGCTGAAAATTTGGGAGCAGTTGGGAAGAAGATTTGACTAGGGAGACAAACAGTGGGCAGCAGCCCAGAAAAGAGCAGCTTCAAAAGGAAGCCTGAGTAGAATGGAAGGGAAGTTGCCAGGGTTCGGGGTTGGGGTTGGCAGTGTCAGTTCAAGGGCCTGGTCTAAAGGGGCTAATTAGGCCCCAAATACAAAAGGTCCTGGATCCACAGGGACAAGGAACTGGGCCTCCCACCCTGCTCAGGTGGGGGATGGCAGGCAGGGGGCAACAAGGTAACCCTAGGAAACGAGCTATAGGATAATACCCAAGTGCCTGGAAAGACAATGAAAGACAGAAAACCAAAGCATATTTGACAGTTTCTTTCAACAACCATTTATTGAGCAAGTACTTTGCACCAGGCATTGTATATAGGCTCTGCCTGCTCTCAAGGAGTTTACATTCTAGCATGAGAGACAAATCCAAGGCACAAATAACCTATCACACAAGGGGGCTGATGTTCTATAACAGAAAGATATAGAAAGGGCTTTGGAGATTTCAGTGTTGATGTGTGCTAAAGATATACAGTAAAGAAGTCTACACACATTCTAGCATAAAAAAAAGTTCACTTTCCTCCAGGAAGTAAAGAAGAGAGGCTTCAGGGTGACAGCTTGGGGTTTGGTTTAATCTGAATAAACCCATAAATCCACTAAATGGTGAGTTTTTTGGTACATTGGCATTTTTGTAGTTTATGAGACATGGATATTTTTCAGATTCTATGTTTACATCATTTCAACTCCACTTGAGCTTATGCCAAGAAGAATCAATAACATGCCTCATTAGAAAAAAATACATACATTAAAAGTCATTCACTTGCATAGGGAGAACATCTTTTCCTCAGAGGGCCACCCTGTGAGACCTGCATGTCCCCACCCACTGGAGCATTGTGTGACTGAAACTATTTGTGCTTCGATAATGCTGGTAACTTATTTTTGAAAACTGTTTCAGTAATATTCACCTTGGAGGAACTTTTAAAAATACTTTTTATGTAATTTTTAACATAGCCTCTTTTCTGATTATAAAAGTGAGGAACACTCGTAGAAAAGTTGGGAGGAAAATATAAAGAAGTTACTTTATGTCATCTTAAAATACCGTTTGTGAACTGGGGCATATCATGGCTCAGCAGTCCTTATTCATATATATAAATAAAATATAAACTCCTAATAAGAAATCTTGTAATTCTTCAACCAAAGGATAGTCCAAGCAACCAATCAACCCAATTCACTTATTTGGTAGGCTGAAAGTGATATATTATTATTATTATCATTATTATTATTTTGAGACAGAGTCTCACTCTCTTGCCCGGGCCAGAGTGCCGTGGCATCAGCCTAGCTCACAGCAACCTCAAACTCCTGGGCTCAAGCAATCCTCCTGCCTCAGCCTCCCGAGCAGCTGGGACTACAGGTGTGTACCACCATGCCCGGCTAATTTTTTCTATTTTTAGTTGCTTGGCTAATTTCTTTCTATTTTTAGTAGAGACAGGGGTCTCGCTCTTGCTCAGGCTGGTCTCGAATTCTTGACCTCTAGCGATCCTCCTGCCTCAGCCTCCCAGAGTGCTAGGATTACAGGCATGAGCCACCATGCCTGCTGGAAAAGTGGGATATTATTAATATTACTTGGAATTGACTTTAATAAAATCTTTGAACTAGGCAAAATCTGTTTCCAGGTAATAATCTCATCACCACCCAATATTAGGCAGAATTCTTAGGTGGCCCCCATGACCACCACCCCTTGGTGTTACATCCTGTATAATCTCTTTTCCTGGAGTATGGGTGGGACCTGTGACTTCCTTCTAGTCAATAGAACATGGCAAAAGTAATGAATGTCACTCTCACGATTACGATACATTATATAAGGCTCCATCTCGGAGTGAGAGATTTCCCTCCTGGCCCTGAACAAGCAGCCGTGCTGTGAACAGCTGATGGAGAGGGCCATGGGGCAGGGAACTGAAACAGCAGGTGGACCTGAGAGGGGCCTCCAGCCTCCAGCTAGCATACAGCCACAAGGAAATGAATTCTGCCAATAACCTGAATGAGCTTGGAAGCTGATTCTTTTCCACTTGAGCCTCCAGATGAAGACACAGCCTGGCCAATACCTTGATTGCACCTTATGAGACTGAGAATCCAGCTAAACCCAGACTCCCGACTCATGGAAACTGTGAGATAATAAATGTGTGTGTTGTTTTAAGCTGCTGAATTTGTGATAACTTGTTACACAGGAATAGAAAACTAACACACCAGCCCCCCATCAGTCCTATATTTTTCACACCCTCTTTCATTGCTCTTCCCCAATAATCTTTGTATCAGAATGGAAACGAGGGCTTCTAGTGTCTTTTTAATCCTTATTTCCTCATTAATTCCCTACATTCCACCAGTATGCCTGAAATGCACCATATATAATACTATCTCTGGCTGAATGTTTTTTTTTTTTTGAGACAGAGTCTTGCTCTGTTGCCCTGGCTAGAGTGTTGTGGCATCAGCCTAGCTCACAGCAACCTCAAACTCCTGGGCTCAAGCGATCCTCCTGCCTCAGCCTCCCGGGTAGCTGGGACTACAGGCGTGTGCCACCATGCCTGGCTAATTTTTTCTATTTTTAGCTGTTTGGCTAATTTCTTTCTATTTATAGTAGAGACGGGGTCTTGCTCTTGCTCAGGCTGGTCCCAAACTCCTGAGCTCAAGTAATCCTCCTGCCTTGGCCTCCCAAAGTGCTAGGATCACAGGCGGGAGCCACCGCGCCTGGCCTCTGGCTGAATTTTTGTTCATGGCATTCCTTCCTATCCAGATTCCCTCCCTTCCCCCTTTGTACTTCGTGCATGAAATCTTCTGAATTTCTAGACTACTGTACCATTGTTTCCATAGCACTTTTCATTTGTCCTTGATCCATATATTGCCATGTGACCCCTTTTGAAATCTATTTCTCTGAAAATGTCATTGAATGTGTACATATATTATATAGAGAATATATATAATACATCTAACATATAAATGTGTATATAGAATATATAAAAGATTATATATATATATGTCTTCAATGAAATTGTAAACTCATTGAAGCCCAGGATTCCATATTGTGCATAGTATACTGCTAGAAATACACACTTCTATATTTAAAAATGGTGTCATATGAAATTGTCAACCAAGTATGACTGGCCACTTATTGAGCCTCTCCACAGAGCCAGACCTGAGAGCCTCTCTCCTTGTTACCCTAACCTCGCAGAGCTGCAGTTGCCTTTACTGAGAATTTAATATAATGCCATCTGCCATACTTAAATCAAAGATTAAACAAGGCTACCGTTGGTGCCTGACATTTAAGAGGTGCTTAATAAATGTGAGTTGAATCAGAGTTTAGGTTGGCAAAGGTCTCGTGTGTAAAGGCTGTGCAAACACAACAGCGATGGAATTATCACAGGCAGACCAATGCTTTAAAGAGCTCCGTGAAACTGAAGAAGCCTGTGCATACAAAAGGCCAGTTTAGGCAACTGTGTTTAAGCCTTAGTTTCCTTTCTAAGTAGATGATATATGTGGAATGCAAGGCCAGCAACCGACTCACAAATACTGATCAAGACGGGGAAGGGATCTAAAGGAATGCGAGTAGGTCTTGCCAGAAAGAAGTTTGCTGTTTCTGAAATATTTTGGTCTTAGCCACTGGCAGAATTGATCGATTGCAGTTAGCAAAGCGTTTTCTGTGCAGCCTGTCCAAGCATCTGCTTCTGTACTTCTGTACAACCGTTGCTCAAATTCACTCTTCCTTTCGAATCACCATCTTTGAAGAGCAAGAGAAAATCCATGCAAACCAGCCGAACAACCCTAACGTGGGTCCTTAACATTTCCCCTTACCCCCTGCCTGGGTTCAAACTTCAACTCCCAGGTTCGTCCAAGTCCCTCCCCTTGCCCTGTCATCTAATGAATATGCAAATACCACATAATTGGCAGCCAATGGCATGGGTTCTGGTCACGTGGTGCCGATGGTAGGTGAGCAGACAGAAGTTGTGTGTCGGTGAACGGAGACGGCGCTCAGTCTGGGGCGAGCGCTCTGGTGAGCGCAGACGGATGCTTAGGCAGTAGTCCTGGCAGCGGCAGCGGCGGCAGTAGTGGTGGCAGCAGAAGAGAGGAAGGGGGAGGGCCCCGAGGGCTACACACGCACACACTTTCAAGTTCCCTTGGAGGGAGAGGAGGTGGGGCTGCAGAAAGAGGAGGCCAGGAGCAGTCCCATCCGTCCCGTCCCGTCTCCCCGTCTTCCTCTTGCTCCCTGCCCCCTGGCTCTGCGAGAGTTGAGGGTTCGGGTGGCCGTACGTGGCAGTGAGGGCAAGAGGGCGAGGAGAGTGGGGAGCGGAGCCAGGGGTGCGGGGGAAGATGCCCATCCTGCTGTTCCTCATAGACACGTCCGCCTCTATGAACCAGCGCACTGACCTGGGCACCTCCTATTTGGACATTGCCAAAGGCGCTGTGGAGTTATTCTTGAAGGTAAAGGGAGGGGAGGGGAGAGATGGGGAGATCTCCCGAGGGATTGTAGAGGGTGGATGTAGGTGCTTCTGTAACGTTTGTCTCGCCCTCTCCCCCTCTTTTCCTACGCGACCCCCTCCGTCATCCCTCATCCTGCAGCTGCGCGCCCGGGACCCAGCCAGCCGCGGAGACAGGTACATGCTGGTCACCTACGACGAACCCCCGTATTGCATCAAGGTAAGGGGGCAGAAAGCGGGAGCAAGTCGGCGGGGGCTGCTTGCCCCCTGCCCCCGCCCAAGGTAGCCCTGCGTCGCTCGGCGGGGCGTGAGGGCGAGGGGGGCGCAGAGGGCGGGCGGAGTGGTGCTGTCTGCGGCTTCCGAGTAGCTGCGGCGCCTGGGGTCGGGGAGAGGGGACGGGGGAGGGGCGGCCCGGGAAGAAACCGCAGAAAGGCCGAGCTCGTGGTGCGACGATCGCAGCCGCCTCGGAAGATGGCGGACATTTTGCTTTTGTATGAGCCAGCGAGAGGGAGACTGAGGGCGCTGCTGAGATGGAAAGGAGGGAGGGGAGGGCGGAGAAGGGAAGGAGGGCCCAAAACCCGGAGGGAGGCTGCGAGGCGGGCCCGCCCCTTCGAGGCGCACCACGCGCGGCTGCGACCCAGGGGACGGGCGGGGCCTGCGACTCCGCCCAGAGTTGCTGTGGGCTCGGCGCGCGGGCTTTCCTGGAGCGCGGGCTCCTCCTCTGGCCCCTCCTTCCGCCACCTCCTCCCGCCCCTCCCTGTCTTCCTCCCCCTCCTCCGGTTTTTCTCCCTCTCCCCTCCCCTTCCTGCTGAGAGCGTGGCAGAGCTTGCCACCGGCCTTCGAAGACCAGACAACTGCTTTTGCACTCTCTGGCCTCTCACCCGCCCCCCCCCCAATAGGAAATCTGTCCGCGGAGCAAGCCTCCCAACCCCCAGGCCCGGAGAAAGTAATTTCGTTTCTGCTCCGAGTTGGTCGGGCTCGACCCGGTTCTCAGTTACCTTAGCTGTTGTTACTGTTTCATTGGAGATCCCAGCGAAGCAAAGACCGGGCTAGATGCCGAGTTCGAACCCAGAAGGGGAGAGCTTTTTAGGGACCTCGCCTACCTATTAGGTTTGTGTTAGCCACATAGAGCGATTTGTCCAGGCCCAAGAAAGAAAGGGAGGGCTCGACTGTGATAATTTATAATAATCAAGTTGGCTGATTTGATTATGACCTACAGGAGAAAAGTAGGGAGGAATTAGCCTTTGTGGGGTGCTTAATTTATGTTCCCATGGTGAGAAGATAAGGAACTGCTTTGCCTGCAGCGGTCAGATAAAATAGAACTTAAACTGTTAAATCAACCTGCTTTAGAGTCCTGCTTGCATATTGAAATTTTAAAAACATTACCATATTCCTTGACATCTTTCGCTTTCCTTTTTTTTTCAGCCCTCAGAATTACCTTAATAGTGCGGGGAGCGAGGGGAGGCACAGTCTGGATGTGTTGTGATCTGTTTCGGTAGAGTGTGGTGTTTTAATGAATGAAACCTACCGAACTGAATAGTTGACCAAAGAGAGTGTTCCTTCAGACATAAGGAAACCAAAGGGAGACTTTAATTTGGTAACTTGTAGCTTCAGTTAACGATTTGATTAGTGAGTTTCCCTTAAAACTGTTCTGGTTTTGGCCAGGCGTGGTGGCTCACGCTTGTAATCCTAGCACTCTGGGAGGCCGCAGCGGGAGGATCGCTCAAGGTCAGGAGTTTGAGACCAGCCTGAGCAAGAGCGAGACCCTCATCTCTACTAAAAACAGAAAGAAATTAGCTGGACAACTAAAAATATATAGAAAAAAATTAGCCGGGCATGGTGGCACATGGCTGTAGTCCCAGCTACTTGGGAGGCTGAGGCAGGAGGATCGCTTGAGCCCAGGAGTTTGAAGTTGCTGTGAGCTAGGATGAC